AGAGGACAACCCATAGGAGTCATTCTTTTCTTCCATTACATGGGTCCCAGGGACAGAACTCAGGTAGTCAGCCTTGTTGGTAAGTGCTTCTACCCACACATCCATCTCACCAGCCCCAGAAACATTTTTAAAAAGTAATTATTCTGGTATTTAGGCCATGAAATGGTCAGCAAGTCAGGGTGCTTGCTGTGCAAACCTGTTGATCTGAAGTCTGATCCCTGGAACCCATGTGAAGGTAATTTGTCTTCTGACATGCACATACATCCATATGTCTCTCACACACACACATAGACACACAATAACTTAAAGAGACTTTAATAAGTATTTGTATTACAATTTCAAGAAAGCAAAGATCATTTTCTTCCAAACTAGTAGAGAGGGCCGGGTGGTGGTGGTGCACGCCTTTAATCCCAGCACTCAGGAGGCAGAGTCAGGCGGATCTCTGTGAGTTCGAGGCCAGCCTGGTCTACAAGAGCTAGTTCCAGAACAGGCACCAAAAACTACAGAGAAACCCTGTCTCGAAAATCCAAAAAAAAAAAAAACCCAAACCAAACTAGTAGAGAAAAAAGGATATAGTAACAAGCTGGGTGGTGCTGGTGCACACCTTTAATCCTAGCGCTTGTGAGTTCAAGGACAACCTGGTCTTTAGAGTGAGTTCCAGGACAGCCAAAGCTACACAGAGAAACCCTGTCTCAAGCAACCAAAAAAAAAAGGTTGTAACTTGGGAAAAGAAGGTAAGAAGGTGTGGCTCAATGGGTAAAGTGCTTGCTGTGCAAACATTAGGACCTAATTTTTGCACTAGCACTCACATGGAGACTGGGTGTGGTGTCTCACATCTATAACCCAGCAACTCTCAGAAAGAGAGAAGATGATCCTTGGGCTAACTGGCCATTTATTGTAGCCAAAACAGTGAACTCCATGTTCAGTGAGAAACTATCTCAAGCAGAGAGGCTGGATGGCTCAGTACTTGCTGCTCTTGAAGGGGACATCACCCACAAAGCGGCTCAAAACTGTCTGTAAAAAAAAAAAAAAACTGTCTGTAACTCCAGTTCCAGGGAATCCATTATGTACATATGTGGCGCACGTGCATATATACAGGCAAAACACACACATTAAATAAGTAAAACTTTAAAAAATAGGGTAGAGAGCAATAGAGGTAGCCTCTGGTCTACATACACGCAAGCTTACCACATGTGCACAGACATAAAAAGGGAAGAAAAGGACAGAAAACAAAAAGAGCTGCTGATATTGTTCAGTGGTAAAGCACTTGCCTAGCATGTGAATTTAATCTCAGTACCCTCCCACATGATGAAGTATAATAGATAAAAAGCAGAGAGAATAGCTGAAAATAAATCCAAATGTTACTAAGTATAATAAATATAAATGTTCTAATGAAAAAAAAAAAAAAAAAAGTTCCAGCTAGGAATCTGAGGGCAGGAGAACCAATTGGACCCATTAGTTTAGACTATATCAAGACCCTATTTCAAAAGGTGGACTTTACCAAGGGAAATAATTAAAATATATCCAGTATTCTAAAACTGGTAAACAATATTAAAAGGAGAATAAAATTGCCTTGAAGGCAGATAATTACTGAAGTGACTAAGTTATATCATAATGGTGAGAACTCAGCTCTGCCTGGAAGCTTGAATGGATATTTACATAAAGATTAAACAAGTATTAGATTTAAAATATAATCATTGGGCTGGAGATATTGCTCAGAGGTTCAGAGCACTGGCTCTTTTTCCAGATCCTGAGTTCAATTCTCAGCAACCACATGGTGGCTCACAACCATCTATAATGAGATCTGGTACTTAATATGGAAATTAAAAACTTTTTTATTTTATACATATGATACTCTGCATGTATACCTGCATGCCAGAAGAAGGCATCAGATCCCATTATAGATGACTATGAGCCATTATGTGGTTGCTGGGAATTGAACTCAGGACCTCTAGAAGAGCTGCCAATGCTCTTAACCACTGAGCCATCTCTGTAGCCCCCCCAAAACTTTTATATATAAAAAGTACATGTATATATGTGTGTGTATACATACACACATATACACATACATACACATGTACATATATACATATACACATATATGAGGGTTTTGTTGTTGTTATTTTGAGATAGAGGCTTACTATTTGGCTGAGGCTGGCCCTGAACAACTGTTGTAGTCCAGGCTGGGCTTGAATTGGGTTAAACCTCCTGCTTCAACTTTCTGAGTGCTGGAATTACAATACAATGTATTTAAATGAAAAAGTTAGTTAGTTGTAAGCAAATGTGCATGAGAAAACTTAGGGTAGGGGAGAAGATAAAAACCAAATCATGCATTTCTTTATCAGTTTCTATAAAATGTACTGAAAGGGAGCTGACTTTTACCTTACTAGTCTAATTAGATTAAATCAGATAAATGACTCTTTCCTTTGTGGCGTTTTAGTTTTGTCTCATATTTCATGCACAGCCAACTTTTCATGAGCTGAGATAGTCCACAGACACTTGGAGCACCTTGCAGCCCAGCTTTTGGAAGTCCTCATCGTGGTTGCTAAAAGCAATGATCTCTGTAGGGCACACGAAAGCAAAGTCCTTCAGGTAGAAAAGAGGACCATGTACTTGCCTCTGGTATGAAAAATTGACTTTCTTGAAGATGCCGTCGACCACCGCAGTGACTGTGAAGTCAAGGGCCAGCTTTCTGATAAGTGTGTTTCGGGACACGACCGGACACAGAGAACAGAGATCTCAGATGACAACTCTTATAAAGAAAACATTTAGTTTGGACTTGCTTCAGTTTCAGAAATTGAGTCCACTGTCATTATGGGAGGGAACATGGCAGCACTCAAGCAGATTTGGTGCTGTATCCCGGCCTGCGGGATACAAACGGTGGTCCCTGATAAACCTAGGGGAGAGGGATGGAGAGGCGAGAGACATGAAGAATGACGGCAAGACAGTATTTCTGATCAAACTTCCGAGTTTATTATTTCTCAGAAGCTGTCACATAGCAGATGGGCAAGGGGGAGGAGAGGTGTCAGGTCTGTTGGAATTCAGGCCTGGGGACACCCGAGCTGGTAGGTAAATACTGAGGGTCTGTGATTGTTGACTAACAAAGGAAATGCTAATATTTTCTAAAAGCCTGGTGCCTGCAGGTCTCACTAGGCTAATGTCCTAGGTCTGGAACTTGCCTGCAAAGGTGAATATCTTATTTGTGAACTTAAGATGACTGTAAACTAAATGCAGATCTCAAAATACAGGTCTTTGCTTCCAGCAGGTCCTCCCTTTTTAAGTATTAGCATGAGGCGAGTTAAAGCACGTGGTAGATGAGCTGACTTTCACCAGTGGGGGGAGAGGGGGAGTGGGAACAGAGGCCCAATCCTCCCATGCTTAATTGGTGGGGGAATATTCTTTCCAACTTGGTGGAAGAATCTTCTTTTCAAAGTTACAGATGTCTTTTTTGGGAGGAGAGGATCTAGGTGTTTATATCAATACCTCTGGACATCAACCTCTATGCAATCAGGCATGTTCCTCAGAAGACCTAGAGACAGAATGCATGGTCTTCCCCCTGCAGTTTGTCTAGCACTCGTTCTGTTGGTACCCATGTCTGTTGTGGACAGACACACATATCTCTGGGTTTTACGTGGCTCCAATAGGAGACTCTCTCTCAAGGGGCTTCTTCTAACCCTCTATCAGCCAGATCAAGCCGGTGATAATGGACCTGAGTGGGCTTGGATGCCACCTGTTAGTGTGGGGAGACTCTCACTCAAGTCTCGGGATAACACGACCCCCCAGTAACTCGTCCCCCCCCCCATAACTCACGAGAGACCATCCTTGCTCCAATCACACGAGGTTTTAATCGATGAGACGGGAACCAGTGCACTGGGGCCGAGACTCATAACCCACGCAGGGGAAGAGTTCGACCCCAGTGACCTGGAGAAGGGGTTTTTATAGGAAGAAACCACAGCCCAGTAATCCGAAAGGGGCAGGGAGGGCAGCACAGAAAAATCACTAGGGGGCAACTCCCTACCTCTCAAGATCACTCAAGGTCATAATCAGCTAGTTCCTAAAACACAGTGTTCCAAAAATACCAATGATAATCACAAGGGGGAAACTCCCTGTTTCTCAAGATTATTCTCAAGTTTACAATCTAATGTTCTCTTCAGCTAGTTCGTGAAACACAGTCACTGAACCGGCTAATCCTAGATTTCTGATTCTTCTCTTCCTGCTTAGATTTTTGGCTATTTTCTTCCTGCTGGGGGGGGGGGCCTGGATTTATCCAGGTCTTTCTTTCTTTTCTTTCTTTTTTTTTTTTTTTTTAATCTTTTTGGTTTTTCAAGACAGGGTTTCTCTGTGGCTTTGGAGCCTGTCCTGGAACTAGCTCTGTAGACCAGGCTGATCTCGAATTCACAGAGATCCGCCTGCCTCTGCCTCCCGAGTGCTGGGATTAAAGGAGTTTAGTGAGCCTATTAAGGGCCCAAGGTTCAAAAGCCATCAATAATAAAAAGCCTAAAAGGGGTCCCAAAAGGGAAGGGTAAGAGGGTGGTGATCCAGGGGAAACCATCCCTCCTCTTGCTTTCTCTGCTTTTTTCTACGCTCTAATCCTTTTCTGACTTTAGCAAAATTGTCTCTAACTATCCCAGTGTGATCAGTATAGAAACAATATTTTTCCTTTAGGGCAGCGCAAAGGGATCAAAATCTAAAATTTTTAACATATGCATTAAACCCAAACATTTTATAGGATGTGTCAAACTCTTCTCAACATCTATAAGCAGTTACAAATATCATAGGTCAATTCCAGTAACAGTACAATGACAGACATCGTTGTTATCAAACACCAGTTCCTGTCTGAGCAACAGTCAGACCCCAAGTCTGCCCCCTTCTGAAGTGAAGTGGGGTTAATATTTTAATCAAAATGAGTTCTGTGTCCCAAAGATTAAAACAGTCAGATGTTAGTCTGCATATTAGCTCCAAAGCAAACAGGATTCAAACTGCAGCAAATTGTAGTCATCATGGTCAGGTCATCTCAGCAGGGCATCTGTGTCTGGAAGCAGCTCAGCATTTGTGCTTCAGGGCAGGTGGGAATCCTGGATGAGGTGAGCTGGATTCAGCCACCTGAAGCACATCTTGGCAATTATCTCTGCGGGGTCTCTTGTGTGGACTCTCTGGAGGCTGAATGATACCCTGTAGTGTAGAGTGCCTTAGCCGGTCCTGACATCAGGCCCTCCTCTCCTTGGGGACAGGGAAGACTGGATCAAGGATTCCTCTCCCACTGTTTCTCAAACTTCTTTATGGGGTGTTTGCAGCTAAGACATCATCAGGCCGAGCTTTATTTTTCTCTGTGAAAAAAGTACAAACACATCCTCGACCCCAAATATATATAGGTCGAGTCTTTTTATAATTTATTGCAAGGGCTTTTTTACCTTGCCTTAGTAAAGGTCACCTTGGTGCCATCATGTCAGATCTGTTTGCATCAGGATTTGTCTGCAACTTTTATAAGTTGTTTTCAAGGAGTCATGGTACACTCTACAATTTTTTTTATTATTATTAACCATATATGCAGTTCTTCCGCTGGAAGAGCCATTTGTAAAATTGAGTATAAAATCCTTTAAGGGATTTTTAGCTAATAACATTAGCAAAATACAGTTGTGTGAATTGCAGCAACAATCATCTGGGAAAAGATTATTATTCTGGCCTTTGAATTGAGCAAACACAGTTGTTCAAAATCATTAATCTATTGCTTAGTATAAGAAACATTGATTATAGTCAATATTCTGTCATGTCCCAGATTTCATCTTGCTTTTTTGTATCAGACAGGCTACTGCTCTAAATTAAGAGTTTAATATCTTGGGGCTGGAGAGATGGCTCAGTGGTTAAGAGCATTGCCTGCTCTTCCAAAGGTCCTGAGTTCAATTCCCAGCAACCACATGGTGGCTCACAACCATCTATCTGTAATGAGGTCTGGTGCCCTCTTCTGGCCTGCAGACATACACACAAACAGAATATTGTATACATAATAAATAAATAAAATAAAAATAATAAAAAAAAAGTTTAATATCTTAACTGGCAAAAGCAGGAAGGTGTAGTCATAAAAAGCATTTTGTTTCTTCATAAAACTGTTGTAGATTAAGTTTTATACTTAATACACACACTTGCCATAGCTGAATCATAATATACTGTGCTTGTAGATTATTGTATACTTTACCTGTTGGTCTATATTTTACCTGCTTGAGTACCTGACTAGCGGCTTTTATTAACTTTCTATTGGAAAATGGCTTATTGCTCCCTTTAAGAATTTTACCTAGCAGCTCAAGGTCTCCCATAAGAATATTATAACTAAGGCCTTAGCCATTGACTATCTAATTAAAAATTTGTAAGCTATCCTCTTCTGAAGTTGTAAGTCTGCCTAACTGATAGGAGAAACTGAGTTCTACATCTGGATTCACAGGTAGCAAGAAGAGTCATTGAATTTGGCTTGGGCTTTTGAAACCTCAAAGCCCACCCTCCAGTGACAAACTTCCTCCAATAAGGCCATACCTCCTAAGTGTGACACTCTGTATGAACCTATGAGGATTGGTGGCTATTCTAAACTCAAAAAACCCCACACTGCCCTTTTGTTAGAGTCTGAAAAGGAATTTCTTCTTCTTATTATTATTATTTGTTTTGTCTTGTTTTTCGAGGCAGGGTTTCTCTGTGGCTTTGGAGCCTGTCCTGGAACTAGCTATGTAGACCAGGCTGGCCTTGAACTCACAGAGATCCTCCTGCCTGTCTCCCCAGGGCTGGGATTAAAGAGGTGCACCGGAATTTCCCATTATTTATGATTTCACTTTGCAGTTACCTCTAATGAAACATAGTACACAAAAAGCATATGAAAAAATTTGAGAAGTAGCTCGTTTTACATCTCATGCCATTCTTCATAGTTTGATGAAATCGCTATCATTCCACTCTGTTCCACATGGAACATCCCCTTTTACTGTATCCGTACTATGTGCAAGAACACATTGTAACTCACTTGGGAGCTCTCAGTTACCAAAACTCAGGTTTCACATTGTGACTGTTATTTTAGGTAGTAAGACCTACAGAGCACAAGAGTAGTGGTGCTGACAGTTGGAGTATGCCAGAGAGCAGCCATAGGGTTCATCCTGCAGCTGAAAAGACTGGAAGTTCTCCACTTGACAATATAAACAACAAACAAAACAACAATGCATGGCTGCTAAGATCTGCAGGGGGATAATATGCTTTGAAAGTGAACACACTTGTGTAGCGTGCACCACCGTGTAGTTATAACTGTCATGCTTGATTATAGTTGTTAATCTTTACTGAGTCTAACTTTTAAATAAGCTTTTACATGAGTATGTACAGGAAGGAGACAGTATGTGTAGGATTCCTTACGATTTGGACTTTTAGACATCCACTTGGGGTTTGAGATATTTCCCTCATGAGTAGTAGGACCGTTATAAAATACTCATTTTCTCATGTTAAGTTAGGTTGCTTTCAATATCTCCTTTTTACAGTGAAGCATATCTTTTATGTGTCTATATTTGTTAATAATTACTTGACTCTACTAAATTCCCAGAGAAAAATTTCTCTATCCTAAATTCCCAGAGAAAAATTTCTCTATCCTATGTATAATTACAAGTGAACCAGAGAGTCTTAGAAAAGTAAACAAGAAGTGTGTTCTTTCCTTTCAGGTCTGTGCTGACAGTTGCTTGTGAACAGACTGAAGTGCTGCTTTTTGACCCTATTTCTTCAAAGCACATAAAAACCCTTTCTGAAGCGCATGAAGACTGTGTGAATAATATCAGGTGAGTGTGCTGGTAAATAATGAGCTTTTAGTGTGACTTGTAGTCTGGCTTGCAAGTTATGAGAATATTTTTGCATTACCCAGTTGCAAAACTTATAACTGCAAATTTTACTATTAATGATTTTTTGGATTGGAACTCTTCTGCAATATATTATTTACTTCCATGCAGTTTTTTTCTTTCCTCTTTGTATGTCAAAGTCATCACTATGAACCTTAGCCATGTACTTAAGCCACTACTGCATTGGCTTACCAACTCTCACAGTCATACCTCACCCACATCCAGAGTATTGAGAGAAAAACACATGGAGAGAAACATCTTTGTAACATCCTTGGATGCTAGCTCCTTCCCTGTTCAGTGATTTGTGAAGTAAATTACAGGTGAACAGTTCGGTGGATTAATCTGCAGTCCTTAAAATGGTGATTGTTGAGATTATGTAACACTATAGACAAATGTTTAGGATTATGTAAATTAAAGTCATGCAAATTATACAAGTATGAAATGATACAAAAGATTAAAAAGATTGTTTTTTTAACTCCTAACAGTAGTTTAAATTGGGTAATTTACCATTTGTTTTCTATCTTCTAAACTATATGAAATGAAATTGTATTTTATAATTACTTTCAATGTTACCTAAAAAGGAAATATAGAAATTACTTGTAGTTTAGGTAGCACTGTGTTTTGATGTAACTCCACTGACGCATATGCAGAACTAGAGAATAAGTTGTACAGAGTTGCAGGTAGGTTCCAGAACACATGTCAGCACCTCTGATGAGAGAGGACAGACCTGAGATTTGCACATGGCTGAAGCTACAGGATGCTGGGCTTTCACTGCAGCACTGATACCTGGTTATGATCTTATCAGTTAAAAAGATTAAAATCACTGAGGAGTTTTGTGTGCAGAAACACCCAGCGACACAATCACCACATGAAGCCATTAGCTGAAATATCTGTCTCATTTATGAAAGACTGAAGAAAGAAAAAGTTCTTTTGCTCCCTGGGGCTGTAGGTTTTAGCTAATAAAGACACAGCCTCATGACAGAAATTGAGTGAAGGTATTTGCCAGTGACTAGATGTTTATGTGTGTTATTTCTAATATTATCATGAAACTGGAGCCCTGAAATGTTGTTAAAACCTGGACTAGGGGCCCAGATGGCCAAGTAGAGGTAATTCTAAAACCCTTAAATAGGAAGGGAGAGAAAAAAGTTAACTTTTTCCACTCAAGCCTATAACCAAAATTTCAACATTCATGAAGACATCTAATATTTAATACAACAATTTCAAGCCACCAGAACAGGGATTTCTCTGGATGAAATTAACTTTATGGAGTAAGTAGTCCAACAAAGACTTTATTTTTAAAAATAAATTATTTATTTTTTTTTTGACTAGGTAATACATGCACGTGGTACAAAATTCAAAGGTACAAAAGGGTAAACAGTGAAAAGTAAGTCTATTTCCACCTCTGTCGCCTGGCCACCCAGTTTCCCTCCCCAGAGGCAACCACTATTACTAATTTGCTATCTTTCCTGAGATAGTTTATGCATGTGCAAGCATATAAATATACACATACACACATATACCTCACATACACTTTTATATAAATGGTAGCATTCTACACATACTATTATATTCCTGGCCTTTTTAACTGAACATAGAGATCATTTCATATTAGTATCCATGGGATGATCTTATTCTTTTTAACAGCTGCATAGTATTCCATTGATTGGGAGACCTTTAAAACCTTTTGGATGCTTAAAGAGGTAAAGTATACTCTTCATTACCTTTAATGTATACATTAAGAGTATACATTAAGAGTATACATTAAGAGTATACATTAAAAGAGATGATAGTAGCAGGTTTATATAGTAAAGAACTGATTAGAACACATAGAAATTAAAAATGTTGCTACATAATTGTATTCTAAAAGGGGAGGGTATAGCTAGGGCTTTAGCTCAGTGATAGGGTACTTGCTTAGCATGTGCAAGGTCCTGGGCTGGATCTCACAACATTGCTAGGGAAAATAGCATCAACAACAACAAAACCCAAAAAGACTTGACACTTGAAGGGGCATAGTTCTAGTTTTGGGCTGAAATGTAGGTCAGAAGTAAAGTGTGTGCTTAGCTTGTGTGAGGCTCTGAATTCAATCTCTAGCACCAAAATTTAAAAAAAAAAAAAAAAAAGAAAAAGAAATTGGGGGCTGGGGATGTAGCGTAATTGGGAGAGTTCTTGGTTAGCAGATGTGAAGCCCCTGGATTTAATGCTGCACAGAATTGGATATGGTGGCTGAGGCTGTAATCCCAGCTTTTGGAAGGGAAGCAGGAAGACTGGGAGGGATTTAAGGTAATCTTTGACTATATGTTGAGTTGGAGGCCAGCCTGGACTAATGAACCCTGTCTCAAATGCAAAATAAGCAATAATAACACATTTTAAAATAAAAAAATTTTAAGTTTAATTGATCAGATGAACTTTACTCTTTATCACTGGTGAGTGAATTGGAAATTGGAAAATAATACCAAAATACTCATCCAGTACATCTAAAAAAGGATTAAAAGGTATTAAAAATTATGAGTATATAATTAAAATACAAGATTAACTGATAAATTACAATATATATAAAGAATTACAAAACTGGACATAGTGGTGCACACCTGAAATCCCAGCATTTAGGAGACTGGAAGAACCCAGATTTGAGGCCAGTTTGGGACTCAAGTAGAAGCTTATTTCAAAATTAATTAATTATTTAATTATAAATAATGAGTTACAGAGATTTCTGGGAAATTAACTTGATAGTTGTTCAGACTGTTTAGTAATGAGAGAGCCAGTTTCTTTAGACTATGAAACGGTCATCGTGACTCTGTATCTGGAGAGGTTGTGGTAAAACTCTAGATTAAGTCTTAAGTGGGAGATAGGGAAATGGCTGAGTGGTGTTTGCTCTTCCAGAAGGTCTGGATTCAATCCCTAGTGCCCACATGGGGGCTCACAACCCCCTGTAACTCCAGTTCCAGTGAACCCCATTTTAGCCTCTGTGGGTACCAGACACACATGGTGGTACACAGATACACATGCAGGAAAAATACCCTTTAGCATAAATTTAAAAAATATTAAAAGTAGCCAGGTGGTGGTGGTGCCCACCTTTAATCCCAGCACTTGGGAGGCAGAGGCAGGCAGATCTCAGTGAGTTCGAGGCCAGCCTGGTCTACCAAGTGAGTTCCAGGACATTCAGGACTATTGCACAGAGAAACCCTTTCTTGAAAAAACAAACAACAACAACAACAAAAAAGTTAAAAGTATTAAAAAGCTGTAAAGTTAGAAGTATAAAGTAAACTGACAGAGGATTTCTTCTCAGCTGATACAAGAAGAAAATGGAGTGTATTTGATAAGGCAAGGCCATGTACCACATTATGTCAGATAAATATAATCCAGACCAAGGAATTTTAAGTAGGTGAAATGTTCACTGTAACTATTAATAGTGCAGGAAATATAATTCTGAGGGTTTGCCTTTACTTTTGCATTTGATCTGTTTAAAACAAAACTAAACTCATGCCGGGGCGGTGGTGTCGCACGCCTTTAATCCCAGCACTCGGGAGGCAGAGGCAGGCGGATCTCTGGGAGTTGAGGCCAGCCTGGTCTACAAGAGCTAGTTTCAGGACAGGCACCAAAGCTTCAGAGAAACCCTGTCTCGAAAAACCAAAAAAAAAAAAAAAAAAAAAAAACTAAACCTAAAGCAGTAAGCTAGTAAGTAAGCAGTGGCATGTGCCAGTACACTCAGCTGTTTATGAAGCTGAAGTGGGAAGATCACTTGCAGCCCACAGTTCTGGAGCACAGAAAGACCATCTACTAACAGTTAATAGTGCTGGAGATGCAGCCAGTGTCAGTGCTTTCCTAGCATGTGGGAGGCCCTGGGTTTGATTCTCAGCATTGCATTGCAAAACAGCAAGACAAAGAGGCAATTAAGGTTAGATAAACACTGACTAGTAGAGATGCAAATGCTAGCCAAATTTGCATTTTTATTAGTGACTATATTACTGAAGAAAGGCAATATTAATGTATTTAGCCCAATAGTTCCAAAATACTACAATTTCAACATATAATCAGTACAAAATTCTTGATATTTCACTTCCACTTTGTAATGCTGTCTTCAAAACCCAGTGTGTATTTTATACTTAGAACATATCTCAGTTCACACTGGTCATATAGCAAGTGTTTGAAAGCCTAGTGGGAATTATAGATGCCATATTTGACAATGTGACTTTACACAGTGGCAACAATAGGTTAATGAGGGAAAGTTTATAGTGTGGGATGGTGCAATATAAGACTCACATCATGTTTAAGAAGACGACAGAAATATCAAGCAATTTCAGACATTTTTAGATCAGCACATAATTAAATGTGTGAACAAAAAAAAATGCTTAAAGGAATAACAAAAAAAAAATCTTATAAATACAATTTTATAGTTTCCAGACCACTAGAAAAGGAGGACACGTGGCCAGTTCAGTTGAAATAGGAAAGCTTAAATTGGTTTTTTGTTGTTGCTGTTGTTGTTTTTATTTAAAGTAAAGGAAGGATAAGAAATAGAAGTTTAAAATTTAGATCTTTCACAGAAAACATAGATTGATATTAATTAAAAGACAGTCTAGAGCTGGGCCTGATGGTGCCTTTAATCCCAGATCTTGGGAGGTGGAGGCAGGAGGATCTCTCTGAGTTCTAGGCCAGCCTGGTCTATATAATAAGTTCTAGGACAACCAGGCCTAAACAGTGAGACTGTCTCAAAAACTAAACAAACAATCTGCAATTTGAATAAGAAAAGAAATGATTTATATGATGTATTTATATGATATTATATGATATATATCATAAGAAAATAAATGTGAAAGCTAAGATTATCAGTATTGGACAGATGACAGAGCAAAGGAATTAAGGATAAAATGTAATAGTGTTTGTAGTAAAGGGAAAACTCAAGATGATAGCAACAGAAACAAAGTGCCTAGTCCGTAGTGGTAATG